TCAAGGCAATCGGCAATCCTCTTACAGCTTCCGGAGAGACCAATCGTCTCTTCAAATGGAATGAAAGATACTCCAACATCAAAATGATAGCCTGCCCTGAATATCTCTGTCTTATTCGAATGAAGGCTTGGCAAATTTTCAACGGAACTGAAGGAGATTTTCTCGGGGACTGCGCCGACAAGAGTTTTTCAGTAAAACTAGTCTACAGCTGGCCAGAAGAAATCTGTAATCGTCTTCCAGTAGGATTGAAATTCAAATCACTTAATCATACATATCCACTCAAGAATGAAGTGATCTAAGGCCATCATTGCCTAATAAAACATGAAACTTTTGTAATCAGGCTATCTTATGAATGATGTTAGTATCCGTTTTCGGAAATCCAACAAATATTGTTTGTGATACACATTTAGGTCTCTACAAAATGGGTGTGATTTTCACATCACCGTCCATTTCTTAGCTCAAATAGGCATCAAGCTAACTTCGTCAGTGCGTGGGCGACCGAGAAGACGACACCAAAATCAACAGACATACGGTACTGAAGGGATAGGCGCAGAAGAAAGAGGAGTTCAGAGGCCATCAGCAAAAGCGGTTGGGTAGAGGTGCCACTTCTCGTGAACTGTTAGGGCCTGCAATGCACCAAAGGTCGTACCTGGCTTTCCATGGTGCCTGATTTGAGGCCAGAGTAGGCGAAGCCGGCATCATTGCGCGAGGAGAGCGTTGAAATGGGCCTCGGGATCAGCGGTCCCACGGTGTTGGCCAGATCCAATGGTTGGTGTAGTTGCTGGGATCGTGAGGGCAGTTGAGACTGCACTTGCTGCTCCATTTCAGCCAGCCGACTTACATACTGCTCCATTCGAGCATGTAGATCGGCTTCCGGCGTCGCCATAGTTGCACCCGCGAGACTAGACTCTCCCTGGCCCCATGCTGAGGCTGTCAGGGTGCCGGAGGCGGACGAGGAGGCCAGTGAAAGACTAACGTCAGGGCCAGCAGCTTCGGGTATCCTGGGGGTAGTTCGACTCGTCAGGCTTACATGCGACGGGGAGGCGGTCATCTGGTGAGCTCCGGTGCTTCGGTGTCCACCTCGCGAGGAAATAGGCCTAAACACAGCGTAGAGGAGAAAATATGTGGCGGGTAAAGTAATGGAATAGAATTGTGATATCTGGCAAGACATCCCTCAACAATGTAAAAGTGATTAAATGAGTGGGTCACATGCCAAACTGACTTTATGCAAATAAGACCCGACCCTGGTGCGATGCTATTATTATAGGCACGATATACTACTTATTAGTTTGTCAGTAGTATACTTATATAAAAAATGTTGGGGCCCTGTGAATGCAAGAGCAAAATCGGAACTTCATTTTCTCATCCAACCAGGTAAAGGGATAGAAGATGACATATAATTAACCCCGCCACCGTTACCAGATATTTCGGATTTTGTCAGAATAACCTTAACTTATCCAAGAGCGATTGGGCAAGCGAGACAAATGCTCTACAAACCTTTTTGCAAATAAGATCAGTTGCAGAGTATAAATGCTAGTTTGTGGACGTTCAGTTAAAAAATACTTTCACTCATTGACGCCCGACTCAGAGCCCATCACAGTCAATGTGATTCGATTATTATAAGTGCAATCACGACCTCCAATGTCCCAGAAATACCAGCTATTACTAGTTAGCATGTAAGTAGTATACCTGTATAAAAAATACAGCGGTTCTGGGTCTTTAAAACATAATTGGGAACTTCATTCACAGAGATGATAGCAAATTTAATCTGCCGGCTCCAATTTAAACCTTGGCTAATGAAAGGAGAAGATGTTGGCCCAAATGCCAGTTCTTCTAATCAACCAGGAGTATTAACTAGCCCATGACGACAGAATAGTGATAAGTTTCGAGTGTCTCTAAAATATCCTCGCATTTTCCTTAATGTAACTTCCCTATCCAAGATTTTAAATTGGTTTGAAATGGCTTTTTTTCGGGAGATGCTAGAGCATATCGTTTGAATAGGAAAGTTCGAGAAATTCTTCAAGGAGTCCTGCTTATATTCCCTAGATTGTGAGCCTGTCTTTCGCTTTTCAGGGGTGCTATACGGATTCAGGTTAATTATTATATATTCCTTGAGATTTTAACTAGTACTCAGTTAAGATGTGAGTATTTCAAAGGTATCAGCAATAGGTCAAGGAGATTTGAGGAAGGATAATAGGGCTTCTCCTACGAGGATAGGAGTAGATCTCATGACGCCTTCCCTATCCATACTCGATAAATGTAATTTGAGAGAGATATGACTTTAATAGGATGCTCCATCTGGTATGTGACCCACTAACACAGATGACTTAATAGCTGAGCGATCAGATGTCGCCAAGATGCGCACAGCTCAATTTAAAATATCGTTAGAGCAGCTGATGAGAGACAGTAGAACGAGGTCGAAGAGGCTATCGAGCCTGGGTAAGAAAATCTTGTAAGGTAAAGCTCAGTTAATTCAATGGTATCATGAGGCCTAGTATTCACATTGTGGGAAATTTCATCTACCAATTCTTCATCACCTTAAACGAAATATGGTCAATAGAGTTAAGAATCGAAAGTTAAGCCTTTCCACATATTTCGACAGGGTCTTAGCATGTCTCTTCTGTTAATGAGTCAGTAGAACTTTCATATCAAAGCCATTTAAAACAAGTCGTATTACTATGTTTATTTATAATTGTTGCGAAAGCATGTAAGTCCTGCCTATCCTATTATTGTGTTTAAAAAAATATATATACGATGTTAATTTCATGCATTTTTAGTATTAATATTTTATGATGGGGTTGAACAATTTTAGCTTGTTCAGCTTGCATACAGACATAAAGTAGCTTAAGCAACGCGTACATTTAAAATAAGCGCTATTATCTGCATCCACTCTTTGGATTTACCTCTTCACACGTAATGATGTCCAATTTATTTGTGTAAACTGCTTTAAGCTGCTGGGGATTAACGACGGTCTCAACAATATACATGGTTCTTAATGAAATCATTTCTCGCTCTTACGGATATCATGTAGTGTTTTTATTGCAAATTTTTGGGATTCTTCATCTCTATTTTCGAAATCAATACAACCGCAATTGTCTTTCCTTCAGAAATCCAGATCCAGTTCTACCTAACCCCTCAGACTTCCTTCAAGTACACTTTTCACAAGAAATACAGCTATTTTAGTTTTTAGTCAGTAGTTGAGCTGTCACGTTTTTGTCAGACCTACTGGTAGTCTCGGGATATAGCCAGAAAAATAAAAATATTTTAGTACTTCATCTCTCTCGGGATAAAGAAAAAGCCATGCTCCATGGCGTTTTCCCGAGTAGCATGGCTTATTGGAGTCTTTTCGACCAGAGCCTCTGCCATTCTGATGATAGGTCTCTTTCAGGCGTAAATGTATTTCAACTTCACTAGCACCACGCGAAGATGGATAACGAGTCCGTATAACCTAACTTCTGGATGGAAGGAGTCCAAGAATAGCTCTTGCCTCGAAGATGTCCATCGCGAAATCGAAAAAAGCTCGACACTGACTCTTCGGATTAAGAGAATGGAGTAGCGAAGGCTATGCTAAGGGCAAAATATGCGCCCAGCCCTCATTGTCCCTGAAGGGCTCGTCCACGAATCGCCTGTTCAAACGCCTAGATCCGAGGGAGGAACAACGAAAACAGATCTAGCCATCCAGGTCGTCTTTAAGAATGTAGAACTTAGTCACCTTAGGTCGCTTTTGAGGTTTTTCCATAAGGCATTCACATCCAGAGAGGATGGCAGTTTAAACCTCGTCTCGGCCTCATCCACTCCCCCAGCAGGAGTCGAACCCGGGTCAGAAGGCAGACAAGAAGTTTAAGGAGGGTCATATCTTTCCCATATTACATTTCTGTAGTGGGATTATCAATAAAGCAAAGTTGTAGTTGTTGGTACAATCGGCTACATCACTTGATTTCATTTAAACACAAAGGTTGCGAAACTATAGGCTGTACTCCGCTGGCTTGAGTCTCGCTGGTAGTGCTGATGAGACCTAGATGAGGCCAGAACTGCACTCCTTTCTGAATAAGAACACCTTTTGGTAAGCAAGACTGTGTGAAATTCGGTGAGAATGTAAGGCCTACTCAAATAATGGTGGAATAATTTAACTATCCGATCTTCATCACCTTAAACGGAATAGCTTGAATACAGCTCTATTATCAAAATATATCTGTCAGAGGTAAGATAAGCATGTGACACAGCCGATGTTTGGGGAGACATTTTATTAATCTCTCTTTTGCTTCGGTGGATCGGAGATTTTTTCCGGGTTGACCCGTGAGTAGCAAGATTGGCGTAAACAAATTGTTGCGAATGCTTTTTGCAAACGAACCAGATAAAAAATTGTCCGTTATGCAGTCTGGTGTAAGCAGGGAACAACTTTCTATTCCATCATCGAAAGAAATAAAATTTGGATCATTTTTGCCCCAAAGATGATATGATAGCTTGCATGACTTTGAAGGAGTTGCAATACTGGTACATCTTAAACTAACCTAAATGTCAAATTCATCAAGATCTACCTTCCTTTAACTCTGATAATCTTGGCTTTATGTAAATTTTGTCTTATTCTTAAAACATTGCAGGAAGAATAACTTAGATAAAATTCCAGAGGTAAAAATTTTATTATGCATTTTATTTTGCCTGCAAAGCTTAAGGAAGAGACTAGTAGATCAATCTAACCAGAAGTTTACTGCAGCTTCCACTAGTTCTACAACAGTTTGATAATTATTTTAATTATATTCACTATAAGTCACATAAGGTGACGAAGAGCAGATAGTTAAATTTTCCCACAGTGATATGAGTAGGCCTCATAATGCCGTGGCATTTCACTTGGGCTTGCCTCCCAATAAGTATTTTCATGCAGAGAGGACTGTAGTCTCAACCTCACTTGGGTCTCATCAGAACCTTCAACCAGAATCTGGCATGGATAGTGCAGAATTTATAGTTGATATGTTAACACTACGCCACAGAGTCACGTGATGTCACCGGTTCAACGTATAGAGTTGAGTTTCAAGGCAAGACAGCCTTCTAGCCTATCATAATTCTAGTGGGAAAATCGATTCGGGCAGCTTGTATTTGTATTGAATAAATATTGCACAAATAGTTCTGGTTGATGAGGTTTAAGAGACAATAAACATCGGTTTAGATGAAAAAGGGCTGAGTTTTCGTCTGCGACTCCATATCCGAGGCTTCGGCAGAGCTGGATCTTAATTTTTGGATCCCATAAAAGAAAAACGAAGAATTAGAGGTGCTAAGCTATGTACAAAAAGAAAGCGACCAAACTGCTGAGCTTGCAGACTGTTTTAACGATATCAAATTTCATTCAACACACCTGCCAAGCTCGGCAACCCGACCAGACATACGTTTGATATTGTGCGATCACTATTATGCCTTTACCTGGGTCAGTAAACCCTGATTATTCTGTGTTATAATTTGTGGCCATGTACACTGACTTACACAGATGCACATTCACTAACACAATCCTCAAGATTGCCATGAGAAGGTACTAGTAAGACAGTTTTATATTTTCAGTTATTTTCTGTTAATGTAGTGAGTAGATATAGCGTGAAAGAAGGGTTGGCTGGAATACTTGATCCAGTGCCGGCTTGAAGCTCTTGTAATAATGAAATCTGCTTCAGACACTTTCTGTTAAGTGGTATGCCAAAATGAAGTTCAGATCTTTTTTACAGGAACAGAAGAATAGTTCAAGTTGACTACATCAGCCTAAACTCCGAAGTGTTAGCAAACTACTGCAGAGCAGTAGGATTCTGCCGTCATCTAATGAAATCGCTACACGAATCCTTTGCTCAGACACCCATAATTAATGAAATTTACCATAATAATGATGCCTAATTGCTCATTTGCATGCGTGGGCAAGTCTAGTCTGATGTTAAGGTAATAGAGAATAATTCCATCTCGTTTTCCACAAAATTATTGATCAACTTATCATTCAGCAGCAGTCAGTGTAACAAAAGCATTTACACTATCAGTAGTTAATGAATTCAAATTTGATAAAAGTTGTTTGACCTTGCTTTCGCAACTTGGTGATATTGGTAGGAAGACTTAGAGAAACGCACCTAGTCCGGAGTCCATTGTATGCATCATCATTTCCAGAGT